GGATGGAGAAGGTTGGGGAGAGGGAGAAGGATGGATGGGTGGGTGGGTGGAGAAGGTTGGATTGGATGGATGGATGGAGATAGATGGAGATGGATGGATGGATAGAGAAGGTTGGGTAGAAGAAGGATGGATGGGTGGATGGATGGATGGGTGGGTGGATGGATGGGTGGAGAAGGTTGGGTTGGATGGTTGGATGGAGATAGATGGAGATGGATGGACGGATGGATGGATGGATGCATGGAGTGTTGCCTGGACAGAGGTTCACAAGGACACTGGATGGAAATAGATGGAGATGGATGGACGGATGGATGGATGGATGGATGGAGTGTTGCCTGGACAGAGGTTCACATGGACACTGTTTGTTGGCCGGGTGAAGTCAGGAGGGATGGAGGCATCAGGCACCTGGTGGGGTCACCTCTGGGTTCCTGTCCCCATCTCCTCCTCAGGTGGCTGACGGAGTCGGCTCGCTGGCTGGTCATGGTGGGCAAGTCCCAGCGGGCCCTGAGGGAGCTCCAGAAGGTGGCCAGGATGAACGGGAAGAAGGAGGAAGGGGACAAGCTCGACACAGAAGTAAAAGGCTCTGGCCGGGTCCCTCTGGGGTGTTTTGGGGGCGGGGAACCGGCCCCGTTCTCCTGGTCCTCATGTAGAGGGCCAGTGGTGGGGTTCTCTGCAGCCATCTCTGCCAGCTTCTCCAACAACCATCCCCATGGACAACTGTCCATTCAGGAGCAGCTACAGCCAGCCCATTACGCAACCATCCAGCTCCATCATCTCTACCATCTCCAGCTCTTTCATCTCCATCATCTCCATCTGCATCATCTCTACCATCTCCAGCTCTTCCATCTCCATCAGCTCCATCTGCATCATCTCTACCATCTTCATCTCTTCTATCTCCACCATCTCCATCTGCATCATCTCTACCATCTCCAGCTCTTCCATCTCCATCAGCTCCATCTGCATCATCTCTACCATCTTCATCTCTTCTATCTCCACCATCTCCATCTGCATCATCTCTACCATCTCCAGCTCTTCCATCTCCATCAGCTCCATCTGCATCATCTCTACCATCTTCATCTCTTCTATCTCCACCATCTCCATCTGCATCATCTCTACCATCTCCAGCTCTTCCATCTCCATCAGCTCCATCAGCTCCATCTCTACCATCTCCATCTCTTCCATCTCCACCATCTCCATCTGCATCATCTCTACCATCTCCAGCTCTTCCATCTCCATCAGCTCCATCAGCTCCATCTCTACCATCTCCATCTCTTCCATCTCCACCATCTCCATCTGCATCATCTCTACCATCTCCAGCTCTTCCATCTCCATCAGCTCCATCAGCTCCATCTCTACCATCTCCATCTCTTCCATCTCCACCATCTCCATCTGCATCATCTCTACCATCTCCAGCTCTTCCATCTCCATCAGCTCCATCAGCTCCATCTCTACCATCTCCATCTCTTCCATCTCCACCATCTCCATCTGCATCATCTCTACCATCTCCAGCTCTTCCATCTCCATCAGCTCCATCTGCATCATCTCTACCATCTCCAGCTCTTCCATCTCCATCATCTCCATCAGCTCCATCTCTACCATCTCCATCTCTTCCATCTCCATCATCTCCATCTGCATCTTCTCTACCATCTCCACCTCTTCCATCTCCATCAGCTCCATCCTCTCCATCTGCATCCTCTCCACCATCTCCATCTCTTCCATCTCCATCATCTCCACCTCCACCATCTTTCTCCATCCTCTCCATCATTTCCATCTCCATCCTCTCCATCTCCTCCACCACCTCCACCATCTCCATCTCCATCCACCCAAGACCTTTCCACCACCACCAAACCACCCACCCACCATCTCCACCACCCCTCCAGCTTGGTTCCTCCCACCACTGCCCCCCCCAGGCAACTGAGGGACCTCACCCGGGAGCCCTCCCTTCTCCTCCCCCCCTAGGCCCTGAGGTCCTACATGCAGAAGGAGATGGCTTCATCCAGGAGCCACCACACGGTGCTCGACCTGGTCAGGACACCCGTCGTGCGCCGCATCTCCTGCTGCCTCTGCTTCGTGTGGTGAGCCTGGAGGTGGAGGACACCACTGGGGGTGTCCAGAGGACACAGAGCTGGACCCCACCGGCCAGGAGATGGTCTGTGACCTCCACACACCTCCCCTTGCTCTTCTTGGCCTAGGTTCTCCACCAGCTTCGCCTACTACGGGCTGGCCATGGACCTGCAGAACTTTGAGTTCGACATCTACGTGATCCAGCTGATCTTCGGGGCCGTGGACATCCCGGCCAAGCTGGTCTCCATCCTCACCATCACCTTCGTGGGGCGACGCTTCACCCAGTCCCTCGCCCTCATCTTGGCCGGCTTGGCCATCTTGGCCAACATCTTGGTGCCACTAGGTGAGGGGTTGGTGGCCGTGGTGGCTCCTTTCCCCTCCAACCCATGAAGCCACCAGGATGGGAGGTCCCACACCAGCTCCACCCCCCAAATTTGAGGGGTTGATGCTTTTCTATGGGTTTTTTGGGGGGATCTTCTTTCTCCATCACCCCACCAACCCAACCCAAGGCCTACGGGTGGCACCCAAGTGAGGTCCAGGTGTTGTGTCCCCCCCAGAGCTGCGGGTGCTCCGCACGGCCCTGGCCGTCTTCGGGAAGGGCTGTTTGGCCGCGTCCTTCAACTGCGTCTTCCTCTACACGGGGGAGCTCTACCCCACGGTCATCCGGTGAGGAGGAAGTTGGGGGGCTGGAGGGGGCGCCGAGGTGGCCACGACCCACC